GTCATTTACAACCGTGTAAACGTGTTACCACTGACCTCTGGACTTCTATTTGCATCCGGAACAAGGGACCTGGATGGATCCCTCCTCTTTGCCTCAGGGCCTTTGCACTGGCTATTCCCCCTACCTGGACACTCTCTCCCCACTTCGTCCCAAGGCCAGCTGCTTCCTGAAATGCAGGCCACAGCTTGCAGGTCGCCCCTTAAAGAGGCTTCTGCAGCCGCCTACCTGTCTGAAGTCACCCCATCTCAACCCCTTATGCAGCCATCTTTCATCCATCATGACTTTGTTTCCTGAGATGCTTTTTTGGCTTTCGGAAACAGCCCTGCCAGGAGCTCGCTGACTCCAGCTGTAGCAGCCTCTCGGCCCCCGGCAGTCCAGGGTCCTCTCTTGCTGGTTCCAGTTCTAACGCCACAGTAGAGGTCACAGAGCCCACGTGTGCGGGGACGGGGTGGGGTGCCGGTCAGCCAGGCAGGTCCTCGGCCCCAGGCTCCGGGGCCTGCTCCCCACACCTCTGTGCCTCTGGAGCCAACGCGGGCGCACTGCTCACTGCCCGGTCAGTTTCACAGCACAAAGAAGCACGCTGAGTTGATTTTCATGGTGCAGGGCTGGGCAAACCGGCTCCAGAAAGCACAGGAGCAGGGCCAGGCCGCATCCCCGCAGCGAAGGCCTGCGACGCCTGCTGCCCTGGCCGAGGGGTGGAGGGGATGCTCCCGGGGTCCTCCCCTCAGCCGGAGTGTAGACGGGCCCTCTGACCGCCACCACTCACGTAAGCGTGGCCACCTGCTTCCCTTTCACGTAGGACCCCCAGCTCGCGCTCTCCCCGCCTTTGGGGTTCTCATGGTCAGTGTCCCTGTTAGAGCAGGTCTAAGGGTCCCCCCTAAGCCGACCGTGTGCAGCTCATGTCCGTGGGCAGTGACTCGTTTGCACTGAGAGCAGAACACCCAGCTTGAGGGGAGCCTGGGGCTCGGGCGGGCGTTACCGCAAAAGAAGCCTGCTTCTTCCACGCAGGCGGGAGGAGAATCTCGCGCCTCCATTATGATAACAGCCAGACGCTACGCGAAGCGCTTGACACTGATGATCTCATCTCATCCTTTCCCACAGCCAGGGACAGGTGCTAGGATCATCACCATTTGTCGGATGAGAACACGGAGGCACAGGAAGGTTGAGTCACTTGCCCCCATCTTACTGCTGGGCAGGTGGCCAGGTAGCCCGGCTATCCTCACCACTGGGCCCACAGCTGCCAGAGCCTGTGGCCTCAGAGCTGGGAAGAAAGTCGGAGCCATGGAGGCAGAGCACAGACGGGGGGTGGGGGGGGGGAACCGACCCTTCTGACAAAGTGAGCCCCGAGTCCATCTGCGCTTGATGCCGGAGCCACCCTAAGGGTTTCGGGTGACGGAAACCAACAGGGGCCCTGCTGCTGAAGCTGGCTGGAGGGTTTTTTCCTTTCTGTAGGTCACAAGAGAAAGGAAACTGATTACTCTATAGTTCTTCTAGGAAAACCCTCCCAACCGATATTCCAACTGCCTCTCGCAAACGGCAGCTGCTCAGGGAGCCCGGCCCAGGCGGTGAGGCGCGTTGGCCTCCTGCCCGCTCCCGGCCGGGTCTGTAACCCTAACACCAACTGCGGCCAGCCTAGCGCCTCTTCCCCTCTAGGCTCCAAGTGAGGCCTAGTTCCCTAGCAACCGCCCCAATTAGGCAATCATGCCATTTATCAGGATGCCAATTAATTATAATGATCTTAATGATCTCCCAATTAGATAGCGCCTTGAATCCGGCTGGATGGGGGCATCTGCAGATTCCTCCCAGGGCCTGTCGCAAGGCTGCCTTGGGGAGGCAGGCCCAGGAAGGGTGCCCTCGCTGGGGAGTGGGTGGGGGTTCATATCGCCCCCCCCTTCCGTGGCCACACACAGTGCCCAGGGCTGATGTCAGGTGTCCCTGACTTTGGACCATCACGGGGCAACTCCACCATCAACAAAAGGGTCGCACCGCTGGGAGAACGTCCAGCTTCTCGTCACGGTCTTTTCAAGGGCTGAAACCTCTCGGATGCCACGTTTGCCAGTTCCCTTTGCATGGTGCCGGGGTAGGGGAGGGAGGCCGCGCGGACACAGAAGGCAAAGGAACTCAGCAAATGCGCAGTTTCCTTTCGGCAGAAAACCCTAAAAGACAAGCCCAAGACGCCCCAAATGGAGGTGGTTTGGGAGAGCTGAAGGGATCCCGACAGCTTTCTGCTTTCAGTGTTATTCTGCTTGTGTGTTCTTGGTTTAGCCTGTATCCTTCCTACATGATGACAACCACAAGATCTGGCTCTCAGGGGTTCTATGTGGATTCAGGGGTTACTATGTATAGTGCTCTGGATGCTTTTGGCCCCTGTGGTAGTTCCTAAGTTAACTACAAGCTGCTCAGAAATGCTGATACTCTTCGGCAGCACAGGGCTGCTGGCCTCAGGGAGCAAAGTCTAGAAACAACTACGACAAACTGGGCCGTACTCCCGTGGGGCTCACCCAGGAGACCGCAGGCCACCCCACCCACCTACCCACTCAGGGGTAAGTAGGAACAGCCACCAAAGCAGGAGCGGGCAGGGGAACGTGCTCCCAAATCCAAAACCAGATGAACCGCTGGGGCTGAGACCTGTCTCTGGGTCCTTGGGGTGGGGTCACAGCCAGCCACAAACACGCTCACACACACAGCCACTCGCAGCTGGGCCTCCTCCAAGCCCCGGGTCTCTGCAATCAGCTCACCCTTCAACCCTTCAGTTCAAAAACTTAACATATTATTAGGGTTTCCCAAAAAGCCATAAATTCAAATAAAAAACCCCAGAAGTATACACAGAGCCCAAAGTGCAAAGCCACACGGACCCTTAGCCCTGGCAGCGATGCCAGCACCCTGCCCTTCTGCACACAAACTCAGCTTCGAAGTCCAGGGCCTGCACTGCACATGTCCACCGTGTCTATCAGTCAAGCCGGCACATCAAGCCCGGGCTGCTTCTTCCAACACTAAATCATGGGGGACAGCTGTCCTGAGTTTTCCTCTAGGAGAGGGCCCAGCAAGACTGGGGCGACCTCTCTTAAGGGGAATGGTCTGCAGTGCATCACCCCACCCCTTTGATCTTTAATGAATGGCTTGATTTAATTACACCCCTCCCCCCTTGAGCAAAGGGAGGTGGGGCTGCAGGAAGGCGACCCCCTCACCATTAGCTACCGGATACACAACTTTGGGGAGAGAGCAGGCTCTGGGGTGTCTCTCTGGGAAAGCTGTCTCACCTGCCTGGTCACCCCCAGAAACCTGGTCACCCCCGAGACTTGGCTCCAGAGCAGGCTGTGGGGGCACCGTGGGAAAGAGGCAGGGGACAGATGGAGGGGGAGGGCGGGTGTCCCAACACGCACAGATGAGCACACACCCAGATTCAAACGTAAGCCGAATGTAATTACTTGGTTAATTAAATATTGACTTTTAACTCCAAAAGTGATTAAAACAAGCTGCAGGAAAGGCTGTCCAGAAACGCGGTGTATGAATCACAACTTCCAAGGGGGGGGGGGCACACAGTGAAGGTCTGTGCTGCTCTTCCTACTGTGTGCTGGCGCCTACTGTATGCAGGGGCGTGGTCCTCAGGGCCCTGGAGGGTAGGCGATTGTGGACGGTGGCTACTCTGCAAAACCAGGATTTCTCACTACTGTTCCACTCCAGACCTCTCTCTACCCAGCCACCCTCCAATGATCCGGCTGCTTCGGGCGCTGGAAGCTAACACAGCTCCTCAACGTTTCCCTGGAAGCCAACGCGGAGGCTGGCACGAGGGCGCTCCATAAATGTGGGTAGAGCGAATGAATGAGCTACTACACGGAATGTTTAAAAAAGAAAGAGAGAAAGTACACCCCTAGGAATCGCCGCAGCTTCATTGCCCGCCTTCTCCAACCCCAAAGCCCAGGGAAGAGAGCATCTCTCCGCAGGGCGAAGAAACTGCTGCTGACCTGGCCAGGAAGGAAGTTTGCCTTTCCAACCCTATTTGTCCTTTCGCTCTCCGCGAGTTCTCACTCTGAGATCCGGTCCACCGCCTGCCCGTGTCCTGCCCGGACAAGCCCCACGTGGGCTGGCTTCTCGCTGGTCCTCCAGGTCTTACCCCGGAGAGGTCAGGCAGGCCGTGCCCCAGCGGCCCGCGGGCCCGGGCTTGCTCCCCCACCCCGCGACTTCTGGGGCGCGGCGGGAAGTCCTCGCCCGCCAGCCAGGGCCGCCGGCGGGGTCAAACGGGTCACCCC